ACACACACACACACACACACACACACACACACACACACACACACACATGCCCAAAAACACATGCCCAAAAACACATGTGCACAGACAAGCGCTGATTCCTAATGCACCCCCCACCCCGGCCTCAGTGCTTTGATGATGCGAGGGAGGCGTCGCAGCATGGGGGGGGGGGCACCATTAGAGTCAGGGACAGACGGGCCAAAGGAGACGACTCATTGGTCCTGACTGACAACTTTCTTGCCGTCTTTTTTTCTTTTTCTTTCTCTGCTGATTAAACGTGAGGATATGTATGTGCGTGTCATGTATCTCTTTATGCGCTCATGTGTAGGTATGCGCGTATGTGGGCGCTGTGCTTATCCAATTATTTTCGAATCCCATCTAAGACAAACGTCTGTTGCTTGCCATCTGCAGGAAGATGAGGGTGGCAGACATTAAGGGAGACGATCAGTGATGGAGTTCACATTCTTACACACACACACACACACACACACACACACACACACACACACACACACACACACAGCATGCATACATACACGGACAATTCATATTAACTCAAAGCTAATCTTGCACTCTTTGACGTGTGGGCCATTAAGGGGATAAACAATATATTAAGAGCACAACACGGCAACGTCACTTGACATTGTCTGTGGCATTGACTAATACAGACACCAACATTTGATACAAATCATGATCCGTTTAGTTTGAAAAAAAGCACAAAAAGGAGGAATGGAGAGAAAATGGAGATAAGCAAAGGACAGTATCCTGCAGTGGTGGAATGATGAATGATTCATAAGTGACTGAGTAAGAGAGAGGGGAGTTATTAATTATTTTGCTGCCTCTGGTAGAGGATGAACATTTGCACACGGAGATCTCAACTTCTGTCCGGAGAGAAAGCGACAGAGTGAGAGGGAAGAGAGAGACTGATAGATTTGTTTAAGTGAAGATCCCAAATTGCTTAATAGGATCTTATAATTAGAGAGAATGCCAGACACATGCTAGTCTACTGTCTCAGAAACAGTAATAAAAACCCACATGGATGAAACAAAAGACAATATCTCATCCTGAAAAAACAACACCGTCTTCTCCCACTGCAACTTGTCCCCCAGGCCTCTGCAGTGAATAAGAATGAGTTAGCTTAAGGGAAAGACCTGCACTTACTATAGTCAAGGTTAAAAAAAGTGTATTCCATAAGCCCTCCGCATGCAGCAGAGCAACCGCTGAGGAGAGAAGGAACTTATTCCCACAAGGAGAACACATGGTTATTGTACAGAAACCCTGTAGCGTGGATTAGAGGCCTGTTTCTATCTCATGATGGTCAGGCCTCCGACATGAAGACACAAGAATATTAAGTGTTGCTCGGCAGCTAAAGAGTCTGCAAAAAAATAAATAAATGAAAAATAAAAAAAGACTGTCAACTAAGACAGCTCCTCAAACTGTTTATGATCTTCCATTTGCTGGTCCATTTTCAGGACACAAACATCCAGCAGGGCAACCAGACACACTGGCAAATATTATTAAAAATGTCGAAAATTCATATAAACACACACAGCAGTCAACAGTAAGAAAAATGGCTGTCATGCTGACATTGCCCCACAGGCGTGTGTGTGTGTTGTCGGGTAAATATTGTCAGAGTGGATTAGAAGTCCAGTCCTGCGACCAGATGGGTGATAAGACCTTTTCTGCAGCCACCTTCATGGCAAATCACCATCAGTGGTCTGTCTGCATATACACACACACACACACACACGTTAACAATCTGACACTCACAGATGTTCAGACACAAAACTGTATGTACAGTGCACACAAACTTGAATGTATTTTTTTAGACTTCAGTGCATAACAATGTGCAATGTGTGTAGCTACACATCCAGAAGGATTCAATCACACAGGAAGGTGACCAAACCAAACATCCACTGAAGAGATTACCCAGCCATGGACAGAATCCACCAGACCCATGCCACTCGAAGAGAAGAGAGAACAGTGCTCTCACACCAGCACCGGGATGAGGAAGTGCAAAAGGAAGGAAGGAAGGATGAAAGAAAGGGAGGAAGGAAGAATTACCGAGACAGAAAGAAAGAAATACGAAGAAAGAATGAAGCAAGAAAGTCAGAAAGAGAAATGAAAGAAACAAAAAGAAGGGAAAAAAAAGGGAGAGGAAAATGAGTTGTTCATACCTGACTGCTTCTGTAATATAAAATCCAATTTGGAGAGGCATAGACGTGAGGCGCAGGGGGGGAGGTGGAGAATGAGATAAGGTGGGGTCCTTTTTCCCTGCCGTACCCTTGTCCCATCCTACACAGTGCATGCTTATGCACACACACACACACACACACACACTAACACCCATACCAACACACACGTAGTCTGTCATCAGCTCGGCAAACACTAAATAATGAACAATACGGAGGCTGTCCCAGCATGATAAGTGACTGCCCTATCCTTCCCATTAGTGCCACCCGCCAGAATTAATGATAATTATGTCACGTCCCTCGCCGTACTTTTATTGAATTCTTATCTATGAATAAACGAAGAAAGCCGGCCTCAGAGTGAGAGGGAAGGGAACAGTTTAAAAAGAGATAGCGGCAAAGTCGAGCCCAAATAAGAATATCTGAAAAATTCTCATTTAATTATTTTATGCCTGAAAGAGAGCGAAACAGTGCGAGTTCAACGAGCAATCGAAGCTAGAGAGTTGTGACCAGATAATGCCTGGAGCCCTCTCTCTCTCTCTGTCCCTCTAGGGAAGGTGCATTATTTTCCAGAGCTCTGCCAGAGGACCGAGATACACAAGTACCTCCAGAGTACCGTCACGCTTTAACTACAGGGGGCGAATGAAAGAGCTGCATGAAAAGACAAAACATTGACGCATGTTTTACAATCAAATGTGGCGATTACTGATACGGTTCTGATCCAGTGCTGTCTGAAGAACATGAATAAGAAGTAGAAACTAAATAGATGTCAAAGTACTCTTACGTTTGAGCCTTTTTCAAGGAAAACAGAATCTTCAAGAGCATCATCTTGTCAAGATTGATGACATATTACCCGTCAGCTTGATGACATTCTTAAATATCTTAAATATTGAATGAGCCTCTTAGAATGACATAAACAACGCATTAAATAAACATGACTGAAGAAAAATAGTCTGACATTCGTTTATGTTTTACTGAACATTTATACCGCAAAAATAAGAGGCCGCTAGTCAAGAGTTACAGAAGAAAACCAAACCTGGCCCGACTGCAAGAGTGATTAATGGGAGTGTAACGCCTCGACTGCTGCGATATGATGTTGAAATACAAGATATGAACTTGAAGAATAATATTACAAGATGTTAGAAGCTCCATCAAGAGATTAAGCATGCTCTTAAAGTGATGAGGATAAAAGCATTACTGTTAAATGATTAGTGATTAACAAGATCTACATAGAGACAAAATGGATAGAAACACACACACACACACACACACACACACACACACACACACACACACA